AAAAAAAAAAAAGGGCAGTGCAGGTCCTCAGCAAATTAATAATTCATTTTTCAGACAACAGCTGCTCAATGATCTATCTACCCAATGGCTCTACCAGTTAATACTCCAAGTTGTATGATACTAGAAAAAAATTAAAGTTGGGGAGGAGAAACATTTTTATCATGAATGGGCACTTTGGAAACCTTGGAAAATATCTCTTGTAGTAGAAGATGTTAGTCCATTAATGACAACCACCATTTTTTACAGAAATAAGAGCAAGTGTAATAATAAGAGCAAGTATAATAACTATAGCGATTATTTAAATTGAATAAAGCAAGTATAAAAATAGAAGCAAGTATAATAATTAGAGCAAGTATAATAAAGAGCAAGTATAATAAAAAAGAAGAGCAAGTATAATAATTACTGCAAATATGTGTTGGAGCTTCATATGTGTCAGAGATGGTTCTAACCACTTGTAATCATGCATTTAATCTTCAGAACTCTCTGAGGTAGATACTGCTGGTATTTTCATTTTACAGATGAGGTAGCAAGGTAACTGAGATGCAGGAAAGTTCAGTAAATTTGTCCAAGGTCACACAGCTAGAAGCCACATTGCTAGTATTCCAATCCAGGCATGTGTCTCCATTTTATTCATATATTATTTAAGGGAAAATCCCAGAGACCTAACTCGTCTACCATCCAGTTCCCACAGCCCATCAGTTGTCTTTATCTAGTTCTGTGCCTGCCATGTACATTTCTGCCCTTCTCTTTGCACAAATTTGCTCTTTATTCTACCAGCCTGGGTTGCCCCACTTCAAACAGTAATTCACATACTTTTCCACACAGGTACCTCCTTACCCAAGCCTTGCAGCTGGTCTCATCTTCTCTGCCAGCTTCCCCTCCTCAAACTGCGTGTCCTCCTCCAGAACAGACTCAATGATGTCTTTGTACTCTTCACACTCTGAGAAAGCAGAGATGCCTGGGTCAGTGGAAAACTGGATATGCTGCTATGATCACTGCCTTCAAGGGAGGAGGCAGGGCCTGCCCCAATCCCATTACCAGGCTCTATGCTGGGATTTCCACATCTTATTCCTCAGTCTCCCAACTACATGGCATTTGATTACTCCCTGTTTTAGAGATGAGAAAAGAGAAGCCCATATGCAGGTAAAATAACTTGTTCAAGATGATTCAACTGGAATGAGGCAAAGTCAGAATTCACATCCCTTGAGTTCTGACTCCAAATCTTGGGCCACTTCAACCAAGCCTTGCAGCCTCTTAAGTAAAACATACAACTGTGTAAAAACATACATGAAGGGAAAAAGTCTAAAAGACATAAGTTCAAATGCTAACAGTGTTGTGTTAGGTCAGAAGGAGAACTAATACATAGCGTTTCCCATGGCATGGTTCTAGTGGATTTTCATGAATTATCATCATGTAATCATCACCACTACCTGAAAAGGTAGACACTATTCTTATTACTATTACAGATGAGGAAACTGAGGCACAGAGAAGATAAAGAACTTAGATTTGAACCCAGGAATTCTGGCCCCAGGGTACACGCTCTTAACCACTGCACTGTATTACCTTTACACTAAGATCTTGGGTGATATCTTTCTTCTTCTCTAGCTTAAAAAAATTTGTTCTACAATTGTATTATGATTATAATGGTGTAAAAAAACCCGTGTATTCCCACATCCCAAAGCTCATCTTTCCACTTTTTAATATGTAGGCTTTAATTTTTACTTTTTTGTCCATGTCAGTAAGTTAGATAGCAAATTTTATCCCCCATTGATTTACTGAAAAATAATTCTAGAAATTCTATGGCAAACTCAACTTCAGTGTCAGCAAAAATTCTCCTCTAGTATCCTTGTCCCTCTCATGCCCTCACTCCCATGTTCCCTTCAGTCACTACAGCTCCACCCCTCCCCTCGATTATGAACGGGTTTGAGTTTGTCCAGTGGATTTCTAAATGTGAAAGCTGATGGTGGAGAGGATGGGGCCAGCCCCTACACTGACCTGGCCTGCTACTGGGACTGGAGGTCTCCTCCACTTGGCATCACTCTCATTTTTGGCCATATGTCTCAAAGCCCAGATCCTAGACTTGCTTGCTGTCTGCAAAGTTCATAATCAGGGAGAGATAGAAAAGCTGTTATAGAGTCTCTGGTTTTCCTGGAAGTACCCTCAATCTCAACAGAGTGTGAGGAATGGCTTCTTTAAACTTATGTGGGAAAAGATTCTTGCTCTAGGCATCATGATTCCTTCTGTGTCTGCTGTTGATGTTCTCATCTCCAGATATCTGTGGTTCAGTTGGCAACAGACAGCTCTGAGCTCCTTTAAGGCAGGTAGGGTGTACTGTTACTTCTTTCATCCCTAGTGCAGCTAGCACAGTGTTTTGCAAATGGGTTCTCAGTAAAAGTTTGAAATGAATCCTGAGATATTTAAGCCAACACTAATATTATATGTTTGTAGAATCTGACACATGTTCCTGAGAGAGAAAAGATGGTTTAGCGCCTGAGCCAAAATTTTAGCCTCTATTCCTCCTTACATTCTCACTGCAAACTTTACTCCTTTGTGCCTCAGTGTTTCCATTCTCTGCAAATTGAGGGTAAAATGCCCACTTCCACCTTTCTAGGAATATAGTCAGAATGAGATTTATTTTGACGAAGGAGAGAGAAGAATAAAGTCTGGAGAGTGTTTAGTTTCTCGGAAGGGAAATGGACAATTATTTATCACTTTGGTGACTGTGACCCCATAGAGCTTACTGTATTTCTGCAGCTGGTTGGCCAGGGAGTAAGCAGTAGCTTTGGATGTAAGGAATTTCTCTGTGAGATCTCGGAAGTTCTGTTTACTTTCTTCCAGCTGGGAGCGCAAGTACTGGTTGGTTTCTAGGATGCTCATTTCTGTCCTCCAACTGGAGGAAGCGCTGGGAGATACTGCCATGCTAAAGCTTGTAGTGGAAGAAGTAGAGCCAGAACCTGAGGAGAAGAAACATAAACAAATAATAAATTAAAAACAAGTGAATGGATTATGGTAATGGTTGCACTGCCTGGTAAATTACTAAAAATCATTTAACTGTACAATTACAATGGGTGAGTTTTATAGTATATAAATTATACCTCAATAAAGTTTCTTTAAATGAAAAAATGAATTTAAACAGGTTTAAAGAATGCAGATGTAATTCATAACCTACTTTTGGGCTGAACTTTGTCAGTATTCCACAACTCTGAGAATCCTTAACCACGAAAATAAGGCACAGGATGCCAAAGCTCAGAGCTGAAGGCACTGCCTGTAGCTCAGGCTCTGATAAGAGTACCGGAGGGAGGACCCAGTGTGCCAAGTAAGGGTCTGGAGTCACAATAACAGAATTGGAAGGTGGGGGTTGTCATGGAATCTTAGGAGCCCCTGCCTTCCAATTGCCTAGGCCATGCTGATACACAAGGCCACCTGGTCTCTTCTGAAGGTCATCACTGATGGGGACCACCCCCTCAGCAACCACTTTCAATATTTGTGTACTCTTGTGTTGATACCATAGACCTATCTCTTTCTAAAATTTAAGCATGTTTTTCATTGTTTATTCTTGTAAATGCATAGAAAACATCAAGGAATCAATATTTTCCCAAATTTTTTATTGTCTTAAGGACTGTCATGATGTCACTTTTTCTTCATGAAAAATTTAAAACTTTGAGATAGCCTTGGTATTCTTCTTTTGTTGTCTGTTTTTTAGTACATCATTTTAATATTATAAGAAAAAAATCCTGAGTATAATACTCTATTCAGTGTGTGAATAATTAATTTATAAGAAGGATTTCTATCCTGACTGTGTCTTAATTTTCTTCTTGCTGCAGCCCAATGTTATGTTGGCTTCTTTTTCCTCACTGGGGAAGCATGTTGGCTTTTCATTAAAGTTGAAGTCCAGTTTGACATTCCCACCTCCTTGCCCTACCCTCCTTCTCTCTGTGCATGTTGCTTTGTGTTTTAATCTCTACATACATTATTTTGTGCTTGTCTCTTTGAAACCAAGAATGAATGAGTTAAAACTTTCCCTGGGTTAGAATGAAACCATGCCTGGTACCCAAAAGGTTGACATAGGAAACAAAGTGACCAAAGTTTCTGAGGTTGTTTTGCAGAACAACAGGAAGACCACTGATAAGATAGCAGCTTGCTGACAGACCCCACCCCCATCTGACTAAATATCATGCAGGTACACTGAGAAGCTAAAATGATCGATTGTAAATTTTGGATGTCACAGACTAAAAATCCACTGCATGCAACACATAGAACCCCTCCAAATTTGTACATTCGACCAATGAAGAAATAAGACAGTTGCATCTGCACAAAGGACTCTTAAAACTTCAGCCCCCAAGGCCTCCTACTCCCTCTCCTACCCAAAACCCTAGTTAAAAACCCCAGCCTTTTTCCCTTTGAGGAGGTAGATTTGAGTTTTAGCTCCCATCTCTTCATCTGGTTGCCTTTCAATAGTAAACCTCTTTCCTTGCTATAAGCCTGACGTTTCAGTAATTGGCTTTGCTGCATATTGGGTAAACAAACTTGTGTTTGTGTTAGACTTCAACTTATGAATTTTATTCTAGCTCCACAGGGTCTCTTTCCAATTTGTCAAAGTCATTGAAATAGTTTTTGTATATTTCTTTGAATACACATAGCAGCTGCCTAACTTGGAATTACTTATAAACTAATACTATTCCTTATGTTCAGAGCAGTTTTTATAGAACACTGATTGACAGTTTGTGTTGACCCAAAAGCATTGACCTGTGGTTGTGTTCTCAGACAGAGCATGGTAAAAATCAAGGTCTGTGGTGGTTGGTAGTGATCCACAGCATTCCTGTGCAATGGGATTTAGTGACATAGAAGCTGAGGTTTTAAAGATAGGCATAGACAGGCAGGAGAGAAAGTGTTCCCTGACATCTCCTTACTTCCTATGTATCAATTCCTCCCTGGATTTATGAGCCTGAGATGAGGGAAACATCCCTGGAATATCTATCTCTTCCCTTCAGCTGCCTAGCTTTTCCAGGCTAGTGCCCTACACACATATGTGACCAAGGCCACCTCCATATGTGCCACTGAACATTCATGACAAAGTGAAGGAAGGAGAACCAGATAAACTACCCACCCCACTTGCCAACCTGCGACTATATTGTGTGATAGTATTGGTTTGTGAGATGTCTCAAAATTTTATATGATTTCAGTCTTTTTAAATGTATGGAGACTTATTTTATGGCTTAGTGTATGGTCTATCCTGGAGAATGTTCTAAGTGCACTTGAGAGAAATTGTATTCTGCTCTCATTGGGTGGAGTGTTCTATAGATGTCCGTTAGGTCATGTTGTTTAAGTCTTCTATTTCTTTGTTGATCTTCTGCTTGGTGGGTCTAGCCATTATGGAAAGCGTGGTATTGAAGTCTCCAACTATTTTATTGTTGAATTGTCTATTTCTCTCTTCGATTCTGTCTGGTTTTGCTTCCTATATTTTGGGACTCTGTTAGATGCAAACATGTTTATAATTGTATCTTCCTGATGGATTAACCCTTTTATCATTATAAAATATCCCTCTTTATCTCTGGTAACATTTTTTTTTTTATTTTAAAGCTGTCTATTTTGTCTGGGATTAGTATAGCCATGCCAGTTTTCTTTGTGGTTGCTATTTGTATAATTATGTTCCATTATGTGGCAAAAGTGATTTTTCAGATGTAATCAAGTTGACCTTAAAATGGGGAGATTATCCAGGTGGACTGACCTAATCACATGCACTCTTTAAATCTGGGTCTAGAGATCAGAGAACTAGGAAGTCAGAGAGATTCAAGCTTGTCAGGGATTCAATGAGGGAAAAACTCTGCATTGCTGGCATTGTAGGTGGAGGGAGTCATGGACAAAGTCCTCAGTCCTACAGCTTCATCATTAGTACTGCCTACAAAGGTAAGCTGACAATTTTTTGTTGAGGAAGATTAGCACTGAGCTAACATCTGTTGCCAATCCTCCTCTTTTTTGCTGAGGAAGATTGGCCCTGGGCTAACATCCATGCCCATCTTCCTCTACTTTATATGGGGTACCACCACAGCGTGGCTTGATAAGCGGTGTCTAGGTCCGTGCCTGGGATCTGAACCTGCGAACCCCAGGCCGCTGAAATGGAGCATGCGAACTTAACCACTAGGCCACCGGGCCAGCCCCTGACATTTTTTAAAAATGTATTCATAATATGTGCTGTACAGATTCAGACACTCTCACTGCCTCTGCCCATCCTTCTCTTCTGCTTTGTCCTTGAAGGTTGCTATGTCTGTCTAGATTGGGGGACACAACTGCCACTGCTTCATTCAGCCTTTCCTCCACTCTCACATGTGCTATGGCTCTCTGGAGCCAGATGGCACTGCTAAGGGGGGCTGAGCACAGGCAGCTGGTGTTATTGGAAGGCACAGACTCTTGATTAATTTAGACTCTGACCTTCATCTACCTGGAAGGCCCAAGCGCCCTTCTCACAGCTTCCTGTCAGCAATTTAAAGGAATTGTTATGTACAAGCCTTGCCCTTCCCAGAACCCCTAAGGCCCTGGCCTCTAACATCTTTACCACTTTTGGGGTATCTGGCCCACCCCAAAGCTATTCTCCTTCCTGGAGGTTCAATTACTTCATCCCTACTGCGTAGTGAGAAGCTACCAGGTGACCATCCCAAGGCCCAGCATGCAAATTAGTGTTAAACGGTGACCTGATGGTACGTTGTCTAGATCAATCAGAGGTTTAGGTGAATGTGCCAAGGATCTAATTTCCAAATGTTCCACACTACAGAAACATACCAGAATTTACCTCCCACCTTGGAAGATACAACTCGGAGGAATGGTTGTTATACCTCAGGCCAAGCACTGATCCCTCCAGGATTACAACCTGGCCCACAAGGCTGCCAAGCTACTGTTTAGACAAACTGTTGAATTTCTTTTACTCCAAAATCCCTGCTGGGTTCCCCACAATTTCTCCAGTTGACAGCAGCACTGCTCCTGGCTGCTAGATTTCTGCATAGACCAGATTTACATGTGCAATAAACAGTCCAGCAGAGGTAGTAAAACGGATTAGTGTTCTAATCTTGCATGTATAATAAAGATTCCCACAGATGCTCTGCAGTGGCAGTGAATGAACTGTGGTAGAGTGAATGACAAACACATAACATTGGCCAGGAATCAAAACCGGGCACTCCATGTGAAACCACAGGTACTGCCATTGAACCACCAATGTTCACAATTCAAGGTTGCTTGCATAGCTCATAACACTCTCAATAGTTTAGGTTTGGCAACCATTATACCTAGATTTAGTGTACAGCTTGCAACTACACTGAGATCCCTTCTGTTTTTGGAGCTTGGGCTGGAAAGAACCAACTGGAAGAGAGCTGCAACTGGGATCAAACTCCTCCTCAAGCCTACAAATTCCCAGCTGAGGTCTGGAATCCAAAACTGGCACTGTACAAAAGTCTCTGTGCTCCAATGGCAACTTTGAGACTTGACTGCTAAGAATTCCCCTAAGACCAAGTTCCATAACATTTCCTCAAGAGAGCTTCCTTAGAGGGATCTTTAGTGGCCTTCATCCCAGCTGATGACTTGAATGAATTCAGAAGGCAGAAGGTCAGGCACACCAGAGTTGTTACTTACTTTGGTCCCTGCTTCCTAATTTCTGAGCACTGGCAAAGGCTCTTCTTCCAGTATGAATCTGTGTTTCAAAGCTAACACAAGTATAGTTCCCACTGCCTCAGTTGAACTCTGTTGCAGGAGATTGGGCCCTGCAAATCTTCTCCCATCACCTCTCAGGATCAGCACAGCCCTAAAGGCCAAGGAAGAGAAGATTGCTGTTGATCAGTTACCCCTTTGATTAGCATGGTCCAGATGCCTTCAGGACCTTGATAATTAGGAACCAACACATTAGGGTGGTACAAACCTTTGGAATTTTGTCTTCAAGGAGTAAGACCCAGGGAAAGCACAAACTCAG